CACAGGGAAGGGGTCCAGTGACACCATGTGACCAAGCAGGGCCAGCAAATAGCAAACTCTGGCAAAAATCAGTGGGGGACACCCCCATGCACCCTCCTCTCATATTGCCTCTGGCTTCTGCCCAGCATGGAGGAGGCTCTGAAGACCCGAGCCCAGGGAGGCATCTCCCATGAGACTGAAGCCCTGAGCCCCCAGGAGGCGCGTCCCGGCTCTCGAATGTCTGAAGATTGTTGTATGTAGCTCGGAGGGTCAGTAGGTTTGGCCCACCCCTGCCAGGGCCAGATGATGACATTCTGAGGCCCTAAGATAGGTCAAGTGTAAGAGGCCCCATTATTCTCTCAGGACATTGAATATATAGAAAACCCCTGGGGATATCTCTGCAGGGAGGCCTGGCGCCAGGAGGACGGCTCTTCCGGACCTCACAGCTAGGAGCAACAACATCTCACCACCACTTCAGGAGGAGGAGGAGGAGGACCCACGGAGAACCTCTACCTAGGACCCAGAAGCTGCCCTTCGCCCTGCTGCTCTGGAGAAGGCTGCTACCAGAGGACACCCCGCCCCCCCCCCGATTACCCAGGACCAGGATGCTGACTGCTGCTCCAGAGAGGGATGCTCCCGAAGGAAACACCTCCTCGACCCAGGACCCCGAAGCTACTGATCACCCTGCTGCCCGGAGGAAGGCTGCTCCAAAGGGAACGCACTCCACAGCCCAGGATCTCGATGCTACATGCCGTCCTACCGGGCAAAGAGATGTCGTAGCCAGCAAGTCCAGCCCCACCCCAGGAGCGGCGTCACCTCCTCAAGCTTCTCTGCCAGACCGAGAGGAGACACCCTGCAAGTCTGCAGGCACAACAGAGGGTGAGGCAGGGGAAGACGACTGCATCTAACTCTGATCCCCACTGACGCACCGGCTTCCCCAGAGCCACAGCACGTAAGGGAGGACCAATCGCCAGCCTGACCCTACCTGTACAGTACCGTCCCTCTGAACTTGTTTAAAATCAAATTTACACATTCGCTTTAATAATTTAAATGTGTTATCAGTTTAATATCGGCTACGTCCTCTGAGGACTATATATTAAATAGATTTTTGGAACAGGCGCTTGCTCCATCCACTCCACGCATCGACCTGGTATTGCAGTACCTCCAGGAATGGTGCACCTCCCCTCGGAGAGCATTGTGGTTATAAAAAATAGAGAAACTAATTTCTATAGCAAGGTTGATTTGTTGTATAGTTTCTTTCAATCGGAGCCTTAAATAATTTCTCTAGCATGTTCTCTAGCTCCTCTGGTTTCTTAGGAGGGGGCTTTTTAAAGCTTTATTCTCCCTGCATAGCTCCACCACCTGGTTCAAAGGGGATGGGTGCTAAAGGGATCAAAGTCTCCTTAAGAAGCTCTCAAGTTGCGGAGCAGAGCACTCCTGTTCTCTAGCGCTTCTGGTCACTTAGGAGCGGGCTTTTTAAAGGCTGCTAGGCTCAGCACATGGTCCCTCAAACAGACCATGCTATCAGGGGTGGCAGGCCACCCCCCCAATCTCTGTCCCCCACCTGCCTAAGGCTCTGGGAGGGAGTTTGAGTTGGGGGAGGTGGTCTGGGGTGCAGGCCCTGGGACAAACCCACCCTGCCCAGGGGCCATAGGGAGATGCTGGCAGCCACGTGGAGCAAGCAGGCAGGAAGCCGCTCAGCTCTGCTGCGCTGCTGGTGGGTGGGGGCCTAACAGTGAGGTCGTGTATAGCGTCCCCCTTGGCTGGCGATAGCTGGAAGGGCTCCATCTTTTGTTTACGGTCCAGCACGCTCAGTCGTATAGTGGTTTTCTTCG